GTAGCATAATAAGCAAATGCCATATTAAATGGATTAAAGAGGAAGCAAAGAGGAGAAATTCGTTTAAAACCGTCTCTAGCCATCACGAGGGTCTGTGTTCGCTCAGTATGTTTAATCCGATTACCGAACAAACCCGTTTTTCCGAGTTCACACAATACTTTGAAACAGGAATTCTCCAAACAGGAACAAATCACACACAGGTACAAAACAAATGCAACTTAAAACCTATCAGATTTAGTGCGTCGTGTGCAGAGGTGGGATTCACTGTTACAACCGGTTCGCCCAGCACCGGAAATGTGAGCATGTGCCATCCGTGCATGCGTGCAATGGCAAACAACACGGCAATTTGCATGTGCCAACTGCCCATGCAGGTGGCGTCAAAAATACAGTGACGGGATTGCGCCTGAGCGGGTGGGCAGAGCCACTCGCAAGTTATCACTACCGATTCGCCCGAACCGTCTGAATCCCACTTCTGGTTGTGTGAATCTATCCGAAAGGTCTTGCAGAAAATAGTTTAAATGTCCAATTAAGGAAGCCATATTAACTTCTCTTCTTTAGGCTAAACAAACCAAGTTTCTTTAAACCTTCGTTGTAGGATTTATTTATTTATATATAAATATATATATATATATATATATATATTTCTATACCGCCTTTCTCCCGTAGGACTCAAGGCGGTGTACAGTCAAGAAAAATATAGACACACAAACATCATAAAATTGCTAATTAAAATTATTACTTAGTTTGGTCAATTAAATAAAACATTTAATTAGCCACCGAGCCTTTCACCCAGGGCTGAAATGTTCCCGGTTCGGACCAGATCGCCCGATCCGGTAGCGATGGTGGCAGGTGGTTCGGAGAACCGGTAGCAAAAATCCCTAGGGCCCCCTCCCTTGCCCATTCCCAGCTGAGCTGCGCGATCATCAGAGGCTTTTTTTAAAAAAACTTTTAAAAGCATTTTTTCTACAACCTCTTCGGCCGAAAAAATGCTTTTAAAAGTAAAAAAAAAAGCTTCTGATGATCATACGGCTCAGCTGGGATCATCAGAGTCTTTTAAAAGCATTTTTTTTACAACCTCAAAGAGGTTGTAGAAAAAATGCTTTTAAAAGTAAAAAAAACGCCTCTGAAGATCCCAGCTGAGCAGCACGATCGTCAGAGGCTTTTTTACTTTTAAAAGCATTGCTTTTAAAAGATTGCACGCCACAGCTGATCACCCACCCTCGCGTGCTGTTCTACTTACCGTAGGCCTCCTTTTGGCATGCACTGCGCGCACGCACCTTGCATTTGGTGCATGGTGCACACTGCGCTGCCAGTGAACCGGTAGTAAACCGGCTCAGATTTCACCACTGCCTTCCCCGTCTTTGTCGCTCTTCTCGATACGCCATGCCCATTGCAAACTATTGGTTCACTTCATGACTGTGGCATCCGTTTCACCGTCACGGCGGCCGCTTTACAATAGCTGTGTTAACGACCAGCGCAAAAAATGTCATAAATTCAAGTTGGTCATGTGACCTATCCATTTTTACAATCGTCAAGACTTGAGGCTGTGATGGGCAGGCTCCACGAGCGATCCGGTTCCCCCCTCCCCCCTCCCAGCCAGGCTGCCAAGCCACAATGGTTGGGGACCGCTGGACTAGAAGACCTCTAAGGTCCCTTCCGACTCTTGTTATTCTGTGATCTCTGCGATGCTTCTTAAGGACCCACCTTCGCTTTGGAAATGCAGATTAGGCTTTGCCCCCCATGCTTTCTACTGTCGGGATTCCGACAGATGCCCTAATTAAACCATGAGCCTCAAGCCAAGCTTTGAAAGAAATCCAGTTATTTATTAGGAACTTCATGTTGGCACGTTCCAAGTGAAGCCAACTCCACATAATTTACGGCCCAGACGTGACCCTGCTTCCCCCTTCCCCCCCCCCCAGAGTGTGTCATCAATCACATTCAACAACAGAGCAATTTTGACGGTTGTAGAGATCATTCCCCTCCGGCCGCTGTGGGTAACCCTGGGAGACAGCCTTGAGAGAGATATGTCTGGAATGTGCTTTTGTTTTTGGCTGCTGTGCAGGGAACCCTCCCAAAGGGCCCACCAGAACAACTGGCAACCACCTCCGACAAAGCCCCAGAGGTTTTGTCCATTCCGGGACCAGAAGGTGACATTCCGCAGAGTTCGATACACACTGGCTAACCATGATGATAAAAGCAACTCTCGCGAGTTCTTCTCAGATGTAAATGAAATTTGATTCCCGAATAGAGATCTCGTGTTTTACAATTTGAATGTTGTGAGGTTCTGAGTTTTTAATCCACCTGAATGGCCTTCCTCCTGCTGGCCCGCTGGCTCCAACGTTGCCAACCAGAGGTGGGAATTCTTAGCGGAGAGAAAATATGAAATGCGCAGGTTTAACAAAACTCCAATAGGTCAAGAATGAGGTCATTTCCCATCGGCTGATAGTCCTCGACTTACAACGGTTCACTTAGTGACCGTTTGAAGTTACAACGGCACTGACAAAAGTGACTTATGACCATTTTTCAGACTTACGACCATTGCCGCATCCCCATGGTCACATGATCAAATGTCAGGAAATTGGCAACTGACTCACATTTATGACGCTCACAGTGTCCCTGGGTCACGCAATCCCCTTTTGCGACCTTCTGACAAGCAAAGGCAACGGGGGAAGCCCGATTCGCTTAACAACCACGTTCCTAACTTAACTGCAGGGATTACACTTTAGCGACGGTGGCAGGAAAGATCGTACACTGAAGCAAAACTCCCTGAACAACTGTCTCACATAGCAACAGAAAGTTGGGGGCTCAATCGTGGTCGTAAGTCAAGGACTATCGTCATTTCCTATCTTGCAGTCAGGAAAGAAGAGGATAATTGTAAATCAGGATTGAACTGCAGGAACGTCGGTATTTCTCCACCTTGGCAAGTTTTAAGATCAGTAGATTTCAACTCCCAGAAATTCCACTTTTCACTTTGAGCAGGTGTGTCTAACCTTGGCCTCTTCAACACCTGTGGACTTCAACTCCCAGAATCCCCCAGCCAGCATGTCTTAAGATGGGCGGGCCACAACTCACAGAATTAGAACATGCTGGCTGGGGGATTCTGGGAGTTGAAGTCCACCCATCTTAAAACGTGCTGGCTGGGGGATTCTGGGAGTTGAAGTCCACCCATCTTAAAACGTGCTGGCTGGGGGATTCTGGGAGTTGAAGTCCACCCATCTTAAAGCGTGCTGGCTGGGGGATTCTGGGAGTTGAAGTCCACCCATCTTAAAGCGTGCTGGCTGGGGGATTTTGGGAGTTGAAGTCCACCCATCTTAGAATGTGCTGCCTGGGGAATTCTGAGAGTCGAAGTCCACAGGTGTTAAAGTGGCCAAGATTAGAGACCCCTGACTTAGAGGGTTATTGCAACGCTTACCTGTGAAAATCACAAGCAGGTGAACAAAGGACCTTTTATAAGAGAAAAGAGCTGAGTGTAGAATTTCACTTTTAAGATTGCCGCTGGCTTGATTGTCGCTGATCGAAGATAGTTAAGGCAACTGACATTGATTGAGGGGCAGGCTGGTGCTGCGACGGCAGAGCTCTGGCGAGATCAGGCTATCTTGATGAATTAAATGGGGGTGGGGGCTGCCGTGAGGAGCGAGCCTAAATAACTGCTGGAGAAGTCTTTTGAAGGCTGCAAGGAATATTGGATTCCTGCAAAGGTTCCAGTTAAAACTTAGCAAGCGTTGCCTAGCAGGAAATGTCAAAGCAGAAAGGTTGGGAAGAAGTGCCTCCAGAAGGCTGATTGTAGGTGTTAGCCATGATTTGATCCCGAAGCCGTGTTCATGCATGGATTAGCAAAGTCACTCTTTTCCATGGTTTGAAGGGCTACAACCATCATCGATTTGGCTGGCTTATTGTTTGCATTATCATGCATTGTTTAAAGTACCATTTAGCTCTATGTTTTTTCAAAGGGAACAACTTTAAGATGGGGGGACTTCAACTCCCAGAATTCCCCAGCCAGCAATGCTTTAAGATGGGTGGACTTCAATGCCCAGAATTCCCCAGCCATCATGCTTTAAGATGGGTAGACTTCAACTCCCAGAATTCCCCAGCCAGCAATGCTTTAAGATGGATGGACTTCAACTCCCAGAATTCCCCAGTCAAGTATGCTTTAAGATGGGTAGACTTCAACTCCCAGAATTCCCCAGCCATCATGCTTTAAGATGGGTAGACTTCAACTCCCAGAATTCCCCAGCCATCATGCTTTAAGATGGGTAGACTTCAACTCCCAGAATTCCCCAGCCAGCAATGCTTTAAGATGGATGGACTTCAACTCCCAGAATTCCCCAGCCAGCAATGCTTTAAGATGGATGGACTTCAACTCCCAGAATTCCCCAGCCATCATGCTTTAAGATGGGTAGACTTCAACTCCCAGAATTCCCCAGCCAGCTCAACAACTTTAAGATGTGTGGATTTCAACACCCAGAATCCCTCAGCAAGCATGTTTTAAGATGGGTTAAACTCACTTAACTGTGTCGCTTAGCAATGGAAGTTTTGGGCTCAATTGTGGTCATAAATCAAGGACTACCAGTGAATGAATGAATGAATGAATGAATGAATGAATGAATGGTTATCTCGGCTTGTTTTCCAAATTTTCCATACGGTTTTTATCTGTTTAATGTTTTTACATGTACATGTTTTTACATGTACATTAAATGTACACATTTAATGTTTTACATGTACACGTACAGCATCCCTCTCTATGAGAGAGAAGGGCAATTCCTTTTATAAAGCTTTAAATTTTTTTATTAGTTTATAATATGGCATACAAAGAGAATACGAAAGTAAATAGTAGGAAAGTTAGGAGGGGGCGATTCCTAAGTCTGATCAATCAATCAACCCATAAACTAAACGGCAGCTTCAGCGTGTCACAAAGTGTGTGTGTGTGTGTGACAATTTCCTGCACCCACTCGCGTTCTCCTCCCCGTCCCGGAAGAAAATCAGCCAAGCTCTCGTGCAGCCCCGTTTGCAAAAAGAAAACGCCTTTTTATTACGGATACATAATTGTCAGTAACTTGGGTTTTCAGCCTGCTGGTACGTACAGGGATGTAACCAGCCGCCTTAATCATGATTTGCAAAATCAAGGGACTTTCTGCGCCGCGGAGGTTTCGGAGACACGATCCCCAGCGCAAGACCGAGATTCGGAGCGACAAAGACGGTCGTCCGGCAATAAATTAAACCGCACCTTTCCGCCATGATGCAAAAGGACGCTATGGAAATTTGGAAGGTGGGTAGGTGCAATGAAAAGTACGAGATTTTAGGGCGGGGGGAGAGATCTTTTCCTAAGGCAGGGGTATCCAACTTTGTCAATTTTAAAATTTGTGGACTTCAACTCCCAGAATTCCCCAGCCAGCATGGCTGGCTGGGGAATTCTGGGAATTGAAGTCCACAGGTATTAAAGTTACCGAGGCTGGACACCTCTGTCCTAATGGCCAGGTGAGGTTTGATCTTCTCTTCCCTTCAATTACTACTAAGTGGGTTATGCGTTATGTCGTTCCTAGCCTAATGAGATGAACGTGGTGGCGGTGATGCCGAAGCCGCCGTGCCCGCGACTGTCGATCTGGGTCTTCTGGAGATGGTGCACTTTCCGCCTGTGCTGTAAACGGGGTGCTGGATCGTTCCGGAATAACCCGCCTCGCCTCCCCATCCTTCCAGCTGCTAGAATTGGAGCGGAGGGAAGGATGCTCCGTGCGCTGCAGATGTTAGCCTCCCCGGCCAGCATTGCACTGCAAGAGAAGAGGGGGAGGGGAAAAAAATTAAGGGAAGGAAAAAGAAAGAAAGAAAAAAAATGAGAATGGAGAAGCAGAGCTAGGAAACTAGGTGTGAAACGTTATCTATAGGGGGGGGGAGAAATTGTCCCCCTCAGAACAGGCTCGCAATTTAGGTGTCCTCCTAGACTCACAGCTAAGATTGGAGCAACATCTGTCAGCTGTGGCTAGGGAGACCTTTGCACAGGTTCGCCTGGTGCACCAATTGCGACCCTACTTGGATCAGGAGGCTCTCCTCACCGTCACTCATGCCCTTGTCACCTCACGGTTAGATTATTGCAACGCGCTTTACATGGGGCTACCCTTGAAGAGTGTTCGGAGACTACAGTTGGTCCAGAATGCAGCCGCGCGAGCCGTCGTGGGTGCACCTAGGTACACCCACATTACACCAATTCTCCGCGAGCTGCACTGGCTCCCTATTGCTCTCCGGTCACAATTCAAGGTGTTGGTTATTACCTTTAAAGCCCTACATGGCTCAGGGCCAGGTTATCTTCGAGACCGCCTTCTACCGCATAGCTCCCAGCAATCGGCAAGATCCCACAGAGTTGGTCTCCTCCTGGTCCCGTCAGCTAAACAATGCCAGCTGGTGGGCCCGCGGGGAAGGGCCTTCTCTGTGGCTGCCTCAGCTCTCTGGAACCAGTTACCTCCTGAGGTCCGGACCATCCCCACCCTATTGGCCTTCCGAAAAGCGGTGAAGACCTGGCTTTTCCGGCAGGCCTGGGGCCGTTGATCTCGCTTTGCGATCCGACGAGATCCGGCCATGAATGGTGTGAATGGGTTTTAATGTTTTTAATTTTTAAGTGTTTTTATAGTGATTTCTGGAGTGCATTGTGAGCCGCCCTGGGTCTTCGGAGAGGGGCGGCATATAAATTGAATAAATAAAATAAATAAATTCCACTCCCTTCTAGCTCTGATAGTTTTTTTTTTTTTTTAAATTGATTTATATGCCGCCCTTCTCTGGAGACTCAGGGCGGCTTACAATGCTTTTAAGCAATAGCCTTCATACTTTTGTATATACCTGTTTAGTAGGGCTTTCGCCCCCCTCCCGCCAAGCGGTGTTCTTTTTTATACAAAGTCAGCTTATTGCCCCCACAAACCGGGTCCTCATTTTACCTACCTCGGAAGGACGGAAGGCTGAGTCAACCTTCAGCCTGGTGAGATTCGAACTTGCAGTAATTGCAGGCAGCTGGTAGTACTTAACAGTGCTTTAGTCTGCTGCGCCACCAAGGCTCCTTGCAATACAGTACTAAATGCCTCCGTCTGCTGACGATCTTAACTGGGGCTTATTTTGGGGGTAGGGCATATATTACGAGCATCCAGAAAAAATCATGCTAGGGCTTATTTTCCGGCTGGGTCTTATTTTCGGGAAAACAGGATATTTGTATATCCCACCTTTTATTCTTGGTTATGCCGCATAAACTGAAGTCCTGCCTTCCTTCGCTTTGTGTTCTTCAGAGAAATGATAGCTGTTTCTCTCTCTGTCTCTGTGTGTGTGTGTGTGTGTGTCTTCGGGCTACGGAGGGGGAGAACCAAGCAGAGCCCTGCTTCTTCCTTTCAGGTATCCAACAGGTGAGCCAAAAAAAAATACAAGCCATTCTCCATCACCTGCAGTTTGCTGACTTGGGGGGGGGAAATCCATTTTTCTGCCGGGGGTTGGTGGAAGAGGCCCTGCATGACACAAGGAAAATTCAGCAGGGCGCATGGAGGGGGGCTGCCACAGCTCCACCTGCATCGTTTTGGATTAATTGCTCAGAAAACTTGCTAATGTTGGACATTTCTCCTGATTATAAACAAAACTCTAACTCGCGTGCCAAATTATTCCGGGCACCGGCATCAATCAGAACCGTAAATGCAACTCTGGAGGCAGAAGAAGAAGTTCACAACCGGCGCTGTGGCACTTTCAGGAGCTGGTTGAGCGAACGAACAACTGTCAGCCCTGCGAGGTAGTCCAGAAAAACAACACTGCAGGTAGTCCACGATTTAACAACCACAACTTCTCACACCCAGATCTTCTGTGGTTTATATCTCGGAGGGCCTCTCGTGGACTATGAATGCTAACATGCTTGTGAAGAAGGCACAGAAGAGGCTGTACTTCCTGAGAATGCTCAGGAAGATAAATCTATCTCAGCATCTACTTCCGTCCTACTATCTCAGCACCATTGAGAGTGTCCTGACATACGGCATTCTTGCATGGTATGGGAGCAGCTCTGTAGCGGACAAAAAAGCTCTTCATAGAATCATTAAAACTGCCCAGAATCTCATCGGGCTCCAGCTACCAGCCCTGGATGACATCTTCGCATCTCGCTGTTTGAGAAACTTCCCCAATCCCCAGGCCGCATCCCAATACTGGTCTGTGGCCCGTGGGGAACAGGGTTGCATAAGCTGCGGTAGAACATGCAAAGCCTCTCCCTTGACTTCAGTTGTCAGAAGGTGGCAAGAGGGGATCGCGTGACCCCAGGACACTGCGACCGTCATAAATATGAACCAATTGCCAAGTGTCATTTTTTTTCAATGCCGCTGTAACTTCGAGCGGTCACTAAACGGACAGCCGTAAGCCGAGGAACTACTTGCATATGCCTAAGTGTTTTAAGGGCGGTGGGGAAGCATGCTGCGCCCGCTTCCCCTGAAACGTCCAGACTCCGAGAAAACCGCCTCCGACGTGTTTTTCCTGTGCCAGCGACAAGCGAAGCCGAACGGAGAAGCGTCTTCCGTTTCTCTTCTGTTGAGAGTGTTATAAATGGGGAGTATCGAACGAGCAACTTGAAAATGCCAGGAAAGCTGTGTGAGTACAGATGCCCTAATTGTCTTCCACTTTCCCGGCTCCTTCCAGATGGTCGCTGCCAGTTTCCGGCACTCTCGAGACACACTCCGTACAAAAAGAAATTCTGGCCGGCTGCCTCCGTGGCCATTATCATCTCGCTCGCTTGCTCTGGACGCGCAGAGCCACAAAGGAAGAGAACGAGAGGCTCTCCAGCCAAAACCGGCTTCCTCGACCAGACCTCGTCCGTCCGAAAGGGACGTAAGAGAGTACGTTGGCTGGAGGGCCAACTTGGGAGAGATCGGATAATAATAATTAAAAAAAAAGAAAAAGAAACCACAGGAGGGTTTAATTTAAAAAGCAGGGCTCTCGGCGAGCCAAACGGACGCGCGGTGGCCGCTGCTGGCAATCTTACCCGAGAGCCGTTGGCGGAAAGCCATTTCGGCATTTGTGAAAAGATGAGAAGGGAGCAAAAACTCACAAAACGTTGGAACAGCGGCTGATTTCAGAGGACGGCTCGGCAATTATCCATCAAGGGAAAGCGTCAGGTGCATAGAATCAGGTGTGTGTTCGTTAGGTTGCGGCTCGTCCTCGGCTGACGACCAAAATTGAGCCCCAAATTCCAACTACTAAGCAAGACAGTTAAATGAGTTTTTTGCTCCATTTTACGACCTTCTCGCCACAGTGGCTAAGCGAATCGGTGCTAAGTGAGTCACACGGTTGTTAAGTGAATCTGGCTTCACCATTGACTTAGCTTGTCATAAAAGAGGATCACATGAGCCCGGGACACTGCAACCGTCAAACATATGAATCTGTGGCCAAGCATCCAAATTTTGATCACACAACCATGGGGATGTTGCAATGGTTGTTAAGTGTGAAAAACGGTCATAGGTCATTTTTTTTCCAGTGCTGTTGTAACTTCAAGTGGTCACTAAACGAATGGTTGTAAATCGAGGACTACACACAAGAATCTGGTCCACTTAAGCTCAACACGAAATTGGTGCCAGATAAGGGTGAACGGAATTCAAGAGGGATTGGACCGCTTGTGGGAATGCAATGATTCTAAGCTAATGACGCATTTAACACCGCCCCCAGCTCTGCCTATTCTTCTCCTATAGAAAGTCTTGGAGCTTAGACTGGACTTGGGCAATCCACAGCCCAGCAGTGTCCTGACCCAGCTCCCCAAACATGACAAACCCACTGATGTAAACTCAAAAGATTCTTTTATTAGGAGTCCCGGCAGCCCCGGCAAAAAGTTTCTCTTGCAGGCTTACAAGTCCGTCTGGCAGGGAGATGAATAGTTGTCTGCCATACCTATTCATCTCCGTCCCCTGCCTTTCATCCCCAGAGCTAGGGTGGGGCTTCACTAGCAGCAGTGGCTCTTCCGTCCCGAGGACCGGCCCATAGATTTCCACTGCTCTCCTCTCCTCTGCCTTCTGCATGTCAGGCACTGGACCCAGCTGTTCCTCCTCTTCCTCATCAGCCACCTCCAGACCTGCGGACTGTTGACTCTTCATCTGAGGGCTGACGGACAGCCCAGACTCCACCTCTGTCTCTCTCTCTCTGCCAGCTCCATTCCCTCTGGAGGGGCTGGCGGCCGACAGGCCACAAGAAGCAGCGAATGCAGCATCCCGGCATCCGATTCAGGGCTCAGTTTTACGGATGTGATTTTTGAGCACGTTGTTAGGTGTGTTACGACAAAACATTTTCACCCAAGGTACCTCTCAAATGGGCTAATTTACAGAAAGCACCCAAAATCCGTGGCTTCCATGGAGTTAAAATCTGGCAAATTTGACCAGACATCTGACGTCATCAAAATATCATAAAACAGTTTATGACATATATTCCCCACCACATCAACTGTTGTGGCCCACCAGCGACCTGCGCGGATTGTGGCTGATCCCGACGACGAGGAGGCTGGTGTGGTGTCGCGCCAGCAGCCTGTGCAGCCGGCGCTCGCGTCGGACAGCGAGGAGGCTGAAGAGGATGTGGTGCCAGAGGCAGAGACTCAGGCAGGGCCTTCAGAACCTCCGGAGGCTCCTTCAAGTGGAGAGAGTGAAGTGGAGGAGCCTCTTCTCAATGCTCAAGCACGCAGGGCTGCCAAAAGGCAGGAGTGGCTTACTCAGGAGGTCTCCTCGAGAGTAAGGCTTGGGGCTAACTGGCCACTCCCTCAGCCTATTTAAATTCGCACACAGCTGGCAAATGTTGCTGGAAACAATGTTTGGTCCTACGCAGAGCATTTGAGAGTGAGTTTTTTGTTACAACTTGGTTTCTGGTCTGATTGCCAACCCTTGTCGGACTTTGTGTAATCTCTGTAATTCATAGCAGGCTGATAAGGACATTTGTGGTTAAAGCCTGCCTTTTGAAAGGGGTCTGTTTGTATTAAACGGAGTTTTTGGAGCTCTGTGTGTGTGCTACACTTCTTGGGACCCGTAGCTGGGACAGAACATCAACAACCCTGTGAGGTGGCAAGATTAGAACTCACCGTCTCCTGGTGATTGGCCCAAAGTCATTCAACCGGTTTTCGTGGCTAAGGCGGAACTAGAACTCCCAGCCTCCCACTTTCTAGCCTGGTGTGCCTGAACCCCTGGACCAAATCGGCCAGCATAATGTAAAACAATACATGGGGGTGAGTTAGGGTTGTTGGGCGTGGTCATCCCATCGCAATCACAACGAGCCGAGTGCAAAGAAGGCTCAACTTTCGCACCCACCTGCCGAGCGTGCTGGACACACTTGAAGTATTCGGCGGCCAAAGCTGAGCAGCTGAGGGTCTCCTTTGGGTTCAGCTGATAGCACTGGAAGATCTGGTTCTGGAGATCGACACACACGGGGTCAGCCTTGTATCGCCTAGATGAGAGGAGACAAAAAGAAGACGCCCAACACGTCAAAGAATTGTTCTCACAAGTGAAGATATGCACCCTGAGGACTCAGAAGGAGAGAATAACAGAGTCGGAAGGGACCTTGGAGGTCTTCTAGTCCAACCCCCTGAACTGTAATTGCAACTGACATGTATTTATGACGGTTACAGTGTCCCGGGGTCATGTGATTCCCTTTTGCAACCTCTGACCAGCAAAGTCAATAAAGTTTCATTGACCAACCGTGTGACTAGCTTAACAATTGCAGTGATTCACTTAACACCGGTGGCAAGAAACATTGTAAAATAGGGGAAAACTCACTTAACCATCATCTCGCTTAACAAGAGAAATGTTGGGCTCAATTGTGGTCTTAAGTCAAGGACAACCTGCACTGAGTTTCTCTAGGAAACATCCCCACGATATTTTGGACCAGGGATGAGGGACAATGGCCCCTTTTATGACTTGTGGACTTCAACTCCCAGAATTCCTGAGTCAGCCATGCTGGCTCAGGAATTCTGGGAATTGAAGTCCACAGGTTGTAAAGGGGGGCCATGCTGGCTCAGGAATTCTGGGAATTGAAGTCCACAGGTTGTAAAGGGGGGCCATGCTGGCTCAGGAATTCTGGGAGTTGAAGTCCACCCGTTGTTAAGGGGTGATGTTTTCCCACCTCAGTTTTGGACCAACTTTAGACTTGCAGCATCTCAAGATGTGAAATTAATCAGAAATTGGCAGTTACGAATCCTGCAGCTGCCGCAGCCCCAAAGAAATTAGAAGAGGAAGTTGCGTACAAATAATTTCTGAGACTTAATGAGTCACGGCTCTCGTGATTCATCCCAGCTGATGGAGCTTAATGGAGGCTCCGAAACCAACTGCTAACGCAGAGAGAATCGCTGCTAAGCAAAGCAATTAACTTAAATTGGGATTTGACTCCTGCACTGTTCGGATGGGGACATTTCAATCATGAGATGAGCTTAATCCAAGTATATCTTGGGCTCCTTCTTATGGGGGGGTGGGGGTGCGGTGGGAATTCAGAGAGAAGATTGTAGGGCGTTTGAAAGAGGGGCGCTAGATATCAAATGATATCGATTTCTGCTACCAGTTTGAGCGAACCGGTCTAAACCGGCTGGATACAACCTATGGGCAGAATTTTTAATTCTCATGTGCGTTATTCAAAAATCTGTAGGAGGACATTGAAGCCCCACATATCTCTTCAATGGGGCCAGGTCGTGCAATGCGCTGGAGACAAAAACAAAAAAACAGAAAAAAAACCCCACAAGGTCATCCATTTTACTGGATCTTTAATGTAATGTAAAGTGAAGTAAAATACTTGACACAATGGACTGAGAGCGAGCATAATTTTAAGTATTTCCCAGAGCTGCTAATTTCTACCTACTCAACATCACTGGTTCTTTCTTTCTTTCTTTCTTTCTTTCTTTCTTTCTTTCTTTCTTTTCTTTCTTTCTTTCTTTCTTTCTTTCTCTTTCTTTCTTCTTCCCTCTCTGTCCCCCTTTCTCTCCCTCTCCCTTCTTTCTTTCTCTCTCCTTTCTTTTTTCTTCTTCCCTCCCACCCTCTCTGTCCCCCTCCTCCCTTTTCTCTCCCTCTCCCCTTTCTTTCTTTCTCTCCTTTCTTTCTTTTTTCTTCCTCCCTCCCTCCTTCTCTGTCCCCCTCCTTCCCTTTCTTTCCCTCTCCCCTTCTTTGTTTGTTTGTTTCTTTTTTCTTTTTCTTCCCTCCCTCCCTCCCTCTCTGTCTCTCCCTTCCTCCCATTCTCTCCCTCTTTCCTTCCTTCCCTCCCTCCCCCCCTTTCTCTCTCTCTCTCTCTTTCTTTCTTTCCTTTTATTTCTTTCTCCCAACCATTTTACAACCATTGCGGCATCCCCGGGGCCACGCGATTCAAATTCCGATGCTTGTCTTGCTCACTTAACAACTCAGTGATTCGCTTCACAACGGTGGCAAGAAAAGGGGCAAAACTCACTTAACGAATGCCTCGATTAGCCACGGGAATTTCGGGCTCAACTATGGTCGTAAGTCGAGGACTATCTGTACTGCTCTTCCTCTCGTTTCGTCTCTTAAATAAATGTTATTAAAGCGCCCTCAGCCAAAATATGCCGTTGCCTTTCTACAGATGTTTTTCCAGCGGCATTTTGCAGAAACGAGATTACTAAAAAGATCATCGTAAAATCCTGGTATGTGTCGTTCTGGAGCCCTTGCCGCTTTGCTTTTAATAAGGCCCCTGTCGATCGAAAACAGATTTCTAATGCATCAGCCGTGTAATGGGGTGGACGAGAAATTAAATTCTGATTGACCAAGCCATTTCTTCCCCCCCGTAATTACACTCGGATGGCGGTTTTAAAAAATGCAACGGATTGTATTCCTGCCTGCACCATTACCACGTTGGGCAGCGAGACCCAGACAAACGAAGAAACAAAAAAATGTGGATTCTTTGAACCTTTTACACATATAATCTGTACATTAATATTAATGTCTAGGTACATGCAATCCATGTCCAAATAAGGAGGTTTATTTCTAGTCCAATAAAAGGCCCCTCCAGCCCAAAATAACCCCAGTAGCCAATTTCTTTAGCTGTTCACTGACTCATATTTATGACGGTTGCTGAGTCCTGGAGTCACGCGATCCCCTTTTGCGACCTTAGGGTCAGTCAAGTGAAGAGGGAAATCTTGGATTCACTTAACAACCCTGTGACCAACTTAACAACGGCAGTGATTCACTTAACAACCGCAGTGGCAAGGAAAGTCGTTGAAATGGAGCCAAACCAGTGATGAAATGTAAAATTTGTTACTACCGGTTCTGTGGGCGTGGCTTGGTGGTGGTGGGGGTAATGTGACTGGGTGGGCATGGCCAACTTTTTTTTCTTTTTTTACTTTTAAAAGCATTTTTTTCTACAACCTTAAGAGGTTGCAGAAAAAAATGCTTTTAAAAGCCTCTGACGATCAGGCAACTCAGCTGGGATCGCCAGAGGCTTTTAAAGGCATTTTTTTCCCCTACAACCTCTTCGGCTGAAGAGGTTGTAGAAAAAACGCTTTTAAAAGCCTCTGATGATCCTAGCTGAGCTGCGTGATTATCAGAGGCTTTTTTTTTTTTTAACTTTTAAAAGCATTTTTTCGGCCGAAGAGGTTGTAGAAAAAATGCTTTTAAAAGTAAAAAAAAAAAGCCTCTGATGATCGCACAGCTCAGCTGGGCATGGGGACGGAGGCGCAGGGATTTTTGCTACCGGTTCTTCGAATCACCCGCCACCATCGCTACCGGATTGGGCGATCCGATTCCGAACCGGGAGCATTTCACCCCTGGGCCAAACTCACTTAACAATTGTCTCGTTTAACAACGTAAATTTGGGGGCTCCATTGTGGTCGTAACTCGAGGACTACCTGTGCTTTCTTCCCTAGCAGATGATCAAAACCAACCCACACCACCGTATCGTGGTCTCTCCGGCAAAGGGAGGGGAAAAAAAAAATAAAAGTCTACATTTTTTGTATTTCACCGCCGAAAGACACTCCTGGGATAATGAAGCTGGGAATGTAATGTTGTGTGTTACCTTAAAGGCGTTTGATGCCGTGTGTTACATCTGATCTTTGGAGGAAAGAGTGTGGTTCTTTTCATTTAAGGATGGAGAGGAGAGGAGGTCGCGGATAAAAAGGGAGAGAAAAAAAACTCAGCTCCAAGGATAGTGAAAAGGCGCTATAAAGTTTTTATTAGTCTAGGTTACGGGTGGTTATATTATCCCCAAGTCTATCGCGCCGGCAGTGAGTTACAGGCGGCACTTCCTAAAAAAAAAAAAAAAAAAAAGAGTAGCAATAAAAAAATTGACAGTACGGTAGATGTCAGGAAACTGTCTCGGCCCGAATTTTAGCTGCGTCTACCGTAGTTTATTTCCGGGGATAAAAATCCAATCTTGACAAACTGGTGAACATAAACGCAAATGTGCTCAAGGGTTCTGTCCCAGCTCCCCAAACACGACAAAGTGCGTTAAGCAATAGCCGTCATACTTTTTGTATATACCTGCTTAGTAGGACTTTCGCCCCCCCCAAGCGGTGTTCTTTTTTTATACAAAGTCAGCTTATTGCCCCCACAATCCGGGTCCTCATTTTACCTCCCTCGGAAGGATGGAAGGCTGAGTCAACCTTGAGCCTGGGGAGATTCGAACTTGCAGTAATTGCAGGCAGCTGTTGTTACTTAACAGTGCTTTAGTCTGCTGTGCCACCAAGGCTGGATAGGTGGACCCCCTGTTCTTTGGGGCAGCCCCTCAAATATTGGAAGACCGCTGTCATGTCAATCCTTCTTTTCTCTAGACTAGACTTCGACAAACCCCATTCCTGCAATTGTTCATCATATGGTTTTAGCCTCCAGTCTCCTCGCCGTCTTTGTTGCTACCTGTACAAGAGTTAATTGTTCCTGCAAACCTTGATGGACTCCAATTTCTGGTCCGGGCTGGATCTGAATATTGGAGTGAGGCAAGAATAAAAATCTGTCTTAATCGTACGCATCCCCTCCTTTAAAATAGATATTTGGAGAGAGAGAAAGAGAGAGAGAGAGAGAGAGAGAGAGAGAGAGAGAGAGAGAGAGAGAGAGAGAGAGAGAGGCAGGCACTTTGAAGAATCTTCAAAGGAACTTCCATTATCAACAATGAATGAAGTCCAGGTTTTTATAAAACGAAAAGAGCGACTTTTAACAACTGCAAATGGCAATTATTTTTATCATCTCAGGCTAAGTTTTATATCCCAGCTTTCATTATGGAGTGTCAGATAAGATACGCAGGGCTGCCTTCTCCAATTTTTTCCCAGGGCACAAAAGTTCGGTCAGGTAGAGTCCTAAAATCCAAGGTTTGGAAGGGACCCCTGGAGGTCTTCTAGTCCAACCCCTTGCTCAGCGCAGGCATCCATTCCAACGGATGGTAAACTACGAGGAAAGAGTTAACCATATCCAAATCCAGGCAGGAGATTTCGGATGGTAAATTTGAACCCATGTCTCTTCTGCAGC